CCAGTTTACTTTCAAAATAAGAAATATGTTATGGTTAGAGATATTTCTCCATACAAAACCAGTTTTTAGACGTATTGCTCATAGTTATTCGTTTATTTTCCAAATTCAAGAAACACAGAAAATAAAAGATGGAATATTTTTTTAAAATTTATCTCCCTTAGGAATTTAAATGGTGGATTATCAATGTGAGTTCATAACTGTGTTTCATACCGTTTTATAAATAACCATTGATTCTTTTCAAATTAGGAAATATTTCAAAATGGATTTCTTTTATCAGATTGTTGGTAAAGTTAATCCGGGAGGTATTTATAAGAATATTGTTGTAATTGTTTCTTTTAAGTCCTGATCATGATTATTCCCTTGGTTACGGGTCGAGTCCCTGACGAGTACACTAAGGTCCCTCTGAAGACAGTGTGCTTTCATTTTTATCATGTAAACACGAGATACATTTGATTAACATGGTAAGGGACTAACAATCACGAAAACGGGTTTAGAGATTGTTATATGAAATAATTAATTAAATGTGATGCACAAAGATGCCGCCATGCGCGTGCAGACCTGGTGCTTGCAACAGACTTTGTTCTTTGCAATTACAAAACAGCTACGCAACCAAATGTTTCCCTCTAGTCAATATACGGGCACTTACGGCGAATGCCGCCATTGCTATTTTTTTTTCGGAAGCAGAAAGCGATTAGCATATACAAAACCCTCGTTACTAGTCTTTTGATCAGTCAAATCGAAATGTTAATAACAAGTTTGCAACAAATCGCCATGTTTTGCACTAATTGTATCCTGTTTTATATTTTCGTGGCAAGCCCCATTTCAGACTTTAATTATAACACATCGATTAGCTTGATGCGATGAAAAAGATAGATCAAAATCAAAGTAATGTCACAATTTGTGTTTCTGTTTGACCTAATTAGTAGTAAAGTAATCGTACCCACACACAATTAAATGGTGCTGCACTTAATGTTCTAATAAACATCGTATATATTCAAGCATTCTAGAGAATATTTTATGGAAGTCTTGATATTTCTTTTTTAGCAGACATTTTGTTGAGCAGTATCATTTCCATTTTCAAAGATGCCAATATAACCTTGCTTCTATCGGTGTTTAGATACCTGAAAAAGACTTTTTTGTTTTATCTCTGAAGTGAAGTTATTAAAGTAATCCTTAAACTGTATTCAAAGACACGGAATAGAGATGCATAGCAGTCTCTTAAAGAGGCTTATAATGCGTGCATTGTGTACCACAGCAGGCATACTCGGGCAATCTAATGATGGTCTGAAAATAGTTCTGTTGTATTATCAAAAGAAACAACTTCGCCCATACATCACCCTAGCTTCCGTAGCCAAGGAGTGATTGATATTTTATTTGATATTTACGATACATACTAAACATGAAGTTATTTAGGAGGTGATAAGCCAATGACATAGCATCGAATCGAAGGGAAGCGCGTGGAAAACGAAGCAGATTTGATTGGTTTTTCTTGGTCTAATGTTCGTCGTTAATGAAATGAAATTTAAATCCACTTGACGCGCTAAATCGAATCTGATATGGTAATATTCCACCAAAGGGGATGTAAAGCTAAAGGTACTAATGCAGTTTTAATTCTTACCAGGGCAAAGCGGTCCTGGAAATAACCCCATTCTTTGATAAAGCGTTTCGGAATTTTTATGCCACGTCAGAAAAAAAAATCCAGGAGTAGAGCAAAAAAAAAAAAAAAAAAAAACTGTTTACTAATATTTTATGAATAAAATGATGGGGAATAAATATTATATGAAATAGAAAAAAATTCTGATGATTATTTACGGTGCAATGAAAACAATTGTGATTTCATGGCCCGTTGTCCTTTGGAGAGGACTGGAGTTAAAAAACAATTTAAACGATTAACACATTGAATAACTTTTACAGACGATTTTCCTATATCTTTTGTAATTGCCTTAAATTCACAATACCAAAATCTAGGAAATCAATAACTCCACATTTCACGAAGATTAGGTTCTTCGTCATCTGGAAAAATAACATTATTTTCATAACACAATTTTCTCAGGCTATGTACTGTGATGCTTTTTAAACATCCTGAAAATTCGCTGTTCTGAGGTTAATCGCAATTGTGATGACAAATGATAATGGGATAGTTGTAGAAGAGAAATTTATAATACAAAAATCAAATCCCTCAGTGAGTGAGAAAGAACAAAACAGAAAATCCAGCACTGTCATTAAATATTAAGATAAAGCAATGATATTGATAATTCTAAAGTGCAACGAAAATAACAACCTTCAGTCACGAATTAACATAAAAAAACTGAACGTTGTTTATTGAAAAACTACAAAGAAACCAAAAAATAATCAAAATTTATTAATAAAGACCACGTTTCCACGGGAAAAAGTCAAGAATTAATAAAACCTCGTTTATCAAAGAAATAAACAGTTGGAGTTTTCCTATCTGGACTGAATCATGCGAAAGAAGTCGTCCATCTTCCTGTTATATACCTGAGAATTCTAGGAGGAGGTTTGAAGTTTAGTTAATTCCATCGGATATTAAAATCGAACCTGTCATCAATATCAAGAGACGTCTCTAGCCTCTACAAGCTGAATTTAAATCCAAGTTCGCGCGAAAAACTGTAAATAAAACCTTTTGTCAAGACATGCATACATTTTCCTCTTTCAAATTGCAACAGGTTACATCCTCAGAGTGTTTTAACAAGCGTATTCCCACTTTGGATGTCTTTATTTTTGCACAAAAATGAAATAAACAGCTGTATTATTATAGCAAGTTTTCCAGCAACAGTATAATTATACAAACACATACTATAACCTTACGTTGTTTTTAAGGTGATTTCATCATCAAATGATAGGTTTAGTTAAGTGGACGATACATTAATATTTTAAACTGTACTGATATCTTAACGTAACACCACTACTTCTACCTAATAGGACTTTGATGAAGAAGTCCCCGATGCTTGCTTGGACAAAAAGATTTAAGAATTGTGTACAAATTTGAAGAAATGGGATTTCAGAGACAACATGAGGTTGACAAAAAAAAGCCATTCCATTTGAAGCGGAAAAATCGTATGGTTATATCATTAATATTTCAAACCTCAAAATTTTGCTTAAACACCATGTACTATATATTTTTTTTTATTTCTGCTTAACTTGAGTTTGATAAGCTACGTTTTATAAATTCCTTCTACTTCAGTGGACACGTGTTGTTTATTTGAAATGCAACAGATACATATTCTTCATATGCAGTGTGATATATGGGATGCCGAGTTCATCATAAAATCGATAAATCTTTATATAACTGGATATTGTCAAAAGATTTATAAGTTTCCATTAAAAACTACATTTACTAAAGTCTGTAGAGTTTCTTCGTTTTTTGTGGAAACTCAAAATGATTTATAAATAATCAAACTAACAGATAAGATTACTCTGTATCTTTCTTACAACGCACCAATAAATTTCTTAAACATTTCCAAGTTGAAGCCTGTTATCCGTCATCAAAAATGTGAGTACTGTTCAGTGTTACGAAGTTTTAAGATTTGTTTTATTATGAAATAAAAATATCAATACATGCACGAACTCGATTTTACTGTCTTTTTGCACGAAGATAATAACCAGGTTAAAATCATTGAAACCAATCGTTAAGAAAAGCAAACTGTAAAAGAAACACAGATTTTTTTTGATAGATATTTGTTTTAAAATAAATGAGAGATATATTGCTCACATTTAAGCATTCCTTACTTTGTTTATAATTTCAAAAGAAATTAAACATTAGAAGTGAACAAAATTTAATGCAAACCCTCTATTCACAGCCTAACATATGAATCAAAATATTTTAAATAATTATACATGTAACCAAAAAAATTAATGAACTCATCCTTTTACAACGCAGGTAAATTACAATGTATATAACATTTACATCTTGAATTGACAAAAAATATTGAAAAGGAAGGATTTTAAATTCAGACATTTTCATGTAGTTAGTCAAATTGAAATATTAAGATGGGCAAGAAAAATTAACTAAAAGACAATGAAGTGTACTTAGGATCCCAGGTTTATTTAAAATCATCTGAGTGGTTAGAAATAAACCAAGATAGAACAGGTACAATAATTCGTCCTCGCACTAGGCGACTAGATTTAGACTGCGCATGACGTAAGCACAGGAAGTTACCGACCTTACAGACCTGAAAATAGCTTCTATACAAAACTCGTGCTATATAAATTACCAGAAAAATAAACTTCACATTAGGTGTGGGAGGTCATACCAAAAAAAAATAATAAAAAATCAAGGTTTTGTTTGTTATTTTATCAAAAAGTAAAAAATCCACTTGAGATTTATTGATATGTTTTAAATAATGAAAGGTTAAAAAATAAGATAAATTGAATATTTTTTACAAGTATTAAATTGTATGCTTAAAATCTTCCATCAACAACAACGCAGTTCGGTAACGCATATGCAAAAGGCATCTTTTCTTCACCCAAATACAATCAGTATTGTTTCAGAATCTATTTGTTTAAGGCATACAGTGAAACGGTCCCCAATCGTAACTGAACTCGCGGTAATCCTTCTATGTGCCGGGGGGAAATTTTCTAACACCACAACATCCGGGTGACTCTGGGCAATTACTCCAACATAAGCTTGGGAAGGTTACTGGACAGTGGTCACAATGAACGACCCACAATGCAATTGTTCCGCTGCACGCACTAAATTTCTCTTACATGTATATCGGTCAATGTCTCATGATGATCATACTAGTAGAACAATATTATTTGCAAAATGCAAACCTATTCAAATATATTTAAATTTGCGTTAAATTACTTTTTGTTCAAGGATAAATAAATCTCAAAAAATTGCTGACGTTTATCATTGAAAAAAGTAGAACACGTACATGTATGTTTTTCTAAAATGTATAGCAAGTGATAATAATAGTTAATTGGTTCAAAAGTGCAAAATGATTTCTTTATCTCCAAACGAAACTGAAAAAGTTACTTACCGATGAAAAACCACCATTCTTCAAAATTCCCGGTCCTCACAACGGCGGATAATTTTTTTTTTAAATTAAAAAAGAAATATGAAAATTGTCTTCCCGGGAAAATCACAATTTTGGCGGGAGAAAAAAGTTCTAACCTCTTCTCTTTCCACACAGTCTCTGATCCAAAACAGAGTATGATTGTGAGTACCAATCTTTCCGAATACACTGACTGAGTTTTCCACTCCGAGTTTCCGTGCGCGCGTTATTTCTTCAGCCTCTGTACCTGTCCGCGGAATATCTATCACGACTGACGAAGACTTGAGGATCGATAGACTACAATCTTATAAACAAGCAGCATCTAAACCACCGGCATGTCTTCCTAGCGCTCGTCCAATCGTTTTAATATGCCGTGTTAAGTGAATCCATTACAGAATCTACCAATAGCAGAGAGAGAAAGCTACAACATATTTTTGTAAAGCTTCTTCACAATAGAAATGTGTTAACAAAATGGAAGAATGCATGCACACTGCTTCTGTTAAGGTGGCAGATCTTTGTTTTCATTGATTTGCATACAATTAACAAAAATGGGGTTTCAATATTAATTTTCTTATAAGGCAAGCACTCCAGAAATGAAATCAATAATCTTGCATAATTATAATACGTTTAATATAATAATGAGCCACGTTTTGATGTAAAAGTAGCTTTTACAAGACTGATATTGAGTAATTTTTATATGATAGTGTACAAATAATAATCACGAAAACACTGAAAGAAAAAAAACCTAGTAAATTTAACTAGTGTGCCTAACGTAAAGCGTTTGTCGCGATTAGTTATCTTTCAGTTTACTGGGTATGATAGTGAGTTGTGGAGCAAGGGTAGTATAGATACTTAGATACCTAGTGAAAGTTACTTATTAATTCTAGATTTACTAATCTGATCTAATAAATCTACCCAATACCTAGTAAAACTACTTTTGAGGTAGTAATTGTATGGACAGTAAATTTACTAGTATTGTTAGTGACTTAAAATGAAAGGACAAAAATGGACTCCCGAAAAGATCGGGGATTGGACTAGCTGCCTAGGAGGAGGTAGCATCCAATGACCACTAGACAGACTAGCCCTCTTCATTAATGAAGTAAATGAAAACATCTGTAGTTATGTTTACTATTTAAAACAGCGGCTTAACAAACGTAAAAAAAAAAAACAGTGGTGATTGCAATGAAATAATTGTTCTCATTTTGAGGCATAATTCTAAACTTTCTACTTAAGACGAATACATGCTGTGGCCTTAAATTCGACGTTTAGATATATATTTTCAATTATTTTTGACTCGATAAATTCCAGTGAATCTGAAATAAAAAACCATTACAAATCGATCACGGTTCCTTATTTTCACCCTTTTCCACCAAAAACAATTTCATGATTCCAAATTTACCAAGTCACATAATTATGGAGAAAAAAAATGCTCAATGTGTTCAAAACCTTCAATTGCATATAATTGTAGACAATACGAACATACACAGGCCTTTTCCAAAGTAGATATAGGCATATATTATAAACTCAAATTTCAATAACAACATAAAACCTGAGCCAATTACAAAAAGGGAAATATGATACCCTTGCTCTGTTGTTTGAAGCATGAAAAAAGTCATTAAGATAAATCTTTTATACTAACTGGCAAATGACATATTGAATATGTAGTGCGTACAGTCCAGTCCACTCTCCATAAAACAACAAACATATAATAAAAAGAAATATATGTCGAAACTTAATTTCTACTGGTTTATACTTAATTATAACAAAGAAAGAGAAATGTAGCAAGTGGGCTTGAAAAGGGGGGGGGGGGGGGGGTTGAATTCTAATACTACTTGAGAATGCCTCCATATCAATACTGCATATAACTTTTTGAGAAAGTTCTTGAGAAAAAGATTTTTATAAACATTTTCTTTGTATATATATATTACTTTGTAATAATTTAAATTTGACTCCCAATTGTTTCCCTCCCTACCCAAAAAGGTACTCATAATTTGAACAAATTTAAATTTTCAATACATGAGGATTCTTACATGTCAATATGACTAAACATAGCTTTTCTGTTCTTGGGATTTTTCCTTTTATTTTCCTATGTTAAACTTTGATCGACCATTAAGACCCTTCCCTACCCTTGGGGGTTATGATTTGAACAAATTTAATTCTACACTACCTGAGGATGCTTCCATATAAATATCACTAATCATGGCTTTGCTATTCTTTAGAAGAAAATTTTTCAAAAATATATTTTAATGTAAAACTTGGATCCCCCATTGTGGCCCCACCCTATCCCTGGGGGTCATGCTTTGAACAAACTAGAATCTACACAACCTGAGGATACTTCCATATAAATATGACTAACCATGGCTTTGCAGTACAGAATTTTTTAAAAAGATTTCCAGAAATATTCCTATTTAAAACTTTGATCGTCCATTGTGGCCCCATCCTACCCCCGGAGGTCATGATTTGAACAAACCAAACTTGAATGTGT